TTGTTTCAGCAGATAACGACTTTCTTCCATTCACACTAGAACGAGAACTTTCAGCGCCTTATGATTTTTTCTAGAGATATTTGGGGTTGGACTCCTTAAATGTCACGTCTGTTCTCTTGTTGTCTGACATTTTATCTGATGCTGACAGGAAATGCTCTTAGGCTGCATTCACACCGCAGGCAAACGTGACCCAAATCAGCCTTTTTTACTCCGGCTCAGATCACGTCTGAGCGTCCTCATTCTGGACGGATGCGCCGTGTGTCATGTGACAAGTGGAAGTCGTGAGTTGACGTATAAGCATGCTAACGCGTAGCATCTACGTTTACTTGCATAAGATCAGCGCCCCGTGCAGCAGGCTCCAGGGCAGCAGCCATGTTGGGTCTGATGGTGGTCACGGGGCTGGGTCGGTGGGCTGGGTGGGGTGGGTGGACTTGGCGTGCGCCGATGGGATTTGGCCTCGAGTCTTCTCGTTTCCATGAATCCTGAAACGTTGGAGCTCCTCCCAGACTTTTGATTCTAGTTGAAGCTCTTTTTTTATCCATAACTTTGTGTTTAGTGTTTTATTTGCTTGTGAAAAACAAAAACAAACCACCTAAACTAAATTCTGTTGTTTTTGTTTGTTCGTTTGCTTGATGCATCACTAAAACCTTAGTCATCATCGAATGCAGGACGGCCTTTTTCTGAAGGAAAATAGAAAATCTGGATTTCTGGTGTCGTTTATTATTTATGATGCACAGCTAGACTCTCCTCTCCACCTTCCCCTCTCTTCCTTCTAATCTCTTCCACAGCTCTATTTTTAGTCCTTTGCTCTTTGCTCCCTCGTCTCTACTTGTCACTCAGCTTTTCCTCTTCACTTCTCATCGCTGCGTCCGATTCCCTTCCCCTCTCTTCTTCCTTCTCCATGACCTGAATCCATCTTTTCTTTTAGTCTCCGTTCCTCCCCTTCTCACCTCACCTACCCTCCTTCCTCTCCTCCCCGTCTCCCTGGCTGCTTTTCCATTTTTATCTGACCCATATCGGCGGATGACATCATTTGGAAGTGGAGCTTCCCACCGCAAACCTGGAAAACAAAGTTTTCCTTCACGCCAAGGGAACGTGCCATCCCTGGGATCTAACGTCATTATTTAATATCCAAGTGGGATCCTGGAGTAGGAAGATCTCAACGGTGTGGCTGGGAATGAGTCAGCTGTTATTCGTAAACACGCTGCTGACTTTAAAAAGAGACGATAAACTTCAGGAAAACTTTTCTTTGAAACGTTGATTTGAAAATCTCCCCTTCTCCTCCAGGTGAGCGCCTGTTTCCTCCTCCGTCGGGGCTGAGTTACTCCACCTGGTTCTGCGTGGAGCGCTTCAGCGATGCGTCGCAGGCCCACCCGGTGCGGCTGCTAACCCTGGTCCGGCGGGCCACCTCCTCAGAGCAGCACTACGTCTGCCTGGCTGTGGTGCTGTCAGCCAAAGACCGCTGTCTGACCGTCTCCACCAAGGAGGAGCTGCTGCAGACCTACTGTAAGAACCGGTTCTGAAATGTGCGCAGCGGGAATGTTTGTGTACTCCAGTCCTGTAACTTTGTGTGCGTCTTCGCCTCCTTCCATCAAGCAGCGGACGAGTCGAGTGAAGAAGCCTCCTTCTATGAGATCCTGCCCTGCTGCTCGCGTTTCCGCTGTGGGGAGCTGATCGCCGAGGGCCAGTGGCACCACCTGGTGTTGGTCATGAGCAAAGGCATGCTTAAAAACAGCATGGCCACGCTGTACCTGGACGGGCAGCTCATCAGCACCGTTAAGGTACAGTTCCATAGAAATCCACGTGGATGCTGTCGTCTGTCTGGAGGAGAGGATGGAGGCAGCACAGATTAAATGTGCTCAAGGGTTTTCTTTCTTAATCTGAAGGGATTTAACATTTTATCTCTGAGGACGATGAAAAAGATATAAAATATTGAATGAAGTGGATTTTAATTAAAAATCATAAGAAAATGTGATTTTTGTATTTAAAAATCATCCATCCATCCGGAGTCGGGTCGCAGGGGCAGTAGGAAGGCCCAGACTTCCCTCTCCCCAGCCACTTGGGCCAGCTCATCCGAGGGAATCCCAAGGCGTTCCCTGGCGAGCCAAGAGATGTAGTCCCTCCAGCGTGTCCTGGGTCTACCTTTAGGTCTCCTCCTGATTGCACGTGCCCGGAAAACCTCACCAGGGAGGCGTCCAGGAGGCATCCTGACCAGATGCCCGAGCCACCTCAGCTGGCTCCTCTCGATGTGGAGGAGCAGCGGGTCTACTCCGAGCCCCTCCCGGATGACCGAGCTTCTCACCCTATCTGTAAGGGAGAGCCCGGCCACGCTGCAGAGAAAACTCATTTCGGCCGCTAGTATCCGTTATCTCATTTTTTCGCTCACTACCCAAAGCTCATGACCATAGGTGAGGGTAGGAACGTAGATCGACCGGTAAATCCAGAGCTTCGCCTTCTGACTCCGCTCTCGTCAGCCCTCTTACTGACGCGACTGCAGCTGGTCCAGAATGCTGTTGCTGGGTTTCATTTGGAGCACGGAAGTGAGACCATGCCACTCCTCTTGCTGCTTTGGACTGGTTACCAGTGAGATGTTGTACCCGCCTCCAAATCCTGGTCTTTGCTTCTGACAGGAATTACCCACCATATTTAGCCTTGCTGCTGACTCTCCCAGATGGCTACGTTCGGGTCAGAGTGACCTCCTAGTGGAACCGCGGCCAAAGCGTAAGTCCATAGGCGATCTGGCCTTTTCAGTTCTGGACCTCGGCTTTGGAACCAACCGCCACTAGAAACAAGGCGGTCCACCTTTAAAGCTAGGCTGAAGCTGTGTCTTAGATCTAATTATTAATGTTTTAATCATCGTTGTTGTTTAACTCTTTGTTTTATTTCTGTGTTTTACTATATAACCGATTGTGTTTTAGTTGTTTTTACATCATGTTCAGCACCTTGGGCCCGCGTGACTGGGGTAGGAAGGGCTTTACAAATAAACTTCAGCTCTCTCTTCACCACGACAGACCGGTACAACGCTCGCATCACTGCAGCACCAATCCGCCTATCGATCTCACGCTCCAGCGTTCCCTCACTCGTGAACAAGACCCCGAGATACTTAAAGTCCTCCACTTGGGGCAGGACCTCATCCCTGACACGGAGAAGGCATTCTACCCTTTTCTGACTCAAGACCATGGTCTCAGATTTAGAGGAGCTGATTCTCATCCCAGCTGCTTCACACTCGGCTGCGAACCGCTCCAGTGAAAGCTGAAGATCACGTTCTGATGAAGCCAACAGGACCACATCATCTGCAAAAAGCAGAGACCCGATCCTCAGGCCACCAAAGCGGATGTCCTCCACACCTTAGCTGCGCCTAGAAATCCTGTCCATAAAGGTTATGAACAGATTCGGTGACAAAGGGCAGCCTTGGCGGAGTCCAACTCTCACTGGGAACGAGCCCGACTTACTGCCGGCAATGCGGACCAAGCTCTGACACCGGTCATACAGGAACCTAGCAGCCCGTATCAGAGGGCCTGGTGCCCCATACTCCCAGAGTACCCCCCACAGGGCCCCCCGAGGGACGCGGTCAAACGCCTTCTCCAAATCCACAAAACACATGTAGACTGGTTGGGTGAACTCCCGAGCACCCTCCAGGATCCCCCTATGGGTATAGAGCTGGTCCAGTGTTCAGGACCAGAACCACGTTGCTCCTCCTGAATCCGAGGTCCGACGATCCGACGGACCCTCATTAAAATCGTTTAGAAATCATAATTCAGATTTAAAAATAAAACATGAAGAAACTTTTCCCAAAGGATCGGAAGCTGGAAAATCTGTTGGGAATGATTGTAGGGGATGAAACTTAAAAGATTTTTGTACACATTCAAATTTTTATAAATTTCTTTCTAGTTAAAACATTTTAAATGTTTTTTTTTTCCTTCCATCAATAAAAGAGAATCATTAAATGAATAATTAGGCAGTAAATTGTCTTATATTATATATTAATGATGTGTAATTTAGGCGCTTTGCAGAAAACACACTCCTTATTAGTAATTAGAGTAATAATCTGTAGGGATTGTGTTTAAGCTGGATCCTTACGTGTTGTGGTGACTTTAGAGTCCCCGGAGATCTGGCAGCAAACCACAAGTCACAGCTCGCTCGCTCGTTCTCCCTCTCTTTCTGTCTCTCTCCCCCCCGCTCTGTATCTCTCTCACTCTCTCTCACCCCCCTCCCAGGAACACTGACAACAACGGTTTCATTTCCTGCTGGGGACAGAAATCCAACTGCTCTGTCTGCATCAAACGATGAACTTCTGCTTGTTTTGGTTTTTTGTTTGGCTTCATGAGCAACATGAGTTTTTCTCTCGTCTGTTCCCAAACCTCGTGCTCTCAAGTGATATTTTATGGGTCCCGTATCCTGTCGGTGGTTCAGACCCAAACAGCGACAGTTTAAATGAGCGTCTCATGAAAATGGCCTGAATAAGCATAAAAGGAGGCGTGAAAAGCCCAAAAACTGATGTTTTTTTTTATCTTCCCCAGCTTCACTACGTCCACAGCACTCCGGGTGGCTCTGGATCCACCAACCCCCCCGTGGTGAGCACCGTCTACGGTTATGTGGGAACGCCTCCTGCCCAGCGGCAGCTCTCCAGCCTGGTGTGGCGTCTGGGACCCAGCCACTTCCTGGAGGAGGTCTTATCTGCCACCAGTGTGGCGGCCATCTATGAACTGGGAACAAACTATGTGGGCAGCTTCCAGGCTGTCTACCCTCCCTGTGAGTGCTCCTAACCCGAACCTAACCTCCTGTTATCCTCGTCATCTCTCCTAACTTGTGTTCCTCAGGTAAAGATGCAAAGACGGAGGTTGCACCTGCCACGCCGGTGGCGTTGGTACCAGAAGAGAAAGTGTCGTTCAGTCTCTGCGCGCTCTCCGTCTCCACGCTCACCGTGGCGAAAATCAGGAAAGTCTACAACAAGCTGGACAGCAAAGCCATCGCCAAGCAGGTGAGAGCCACAGCTGCTCAGGTGTGCAGATTAATCCCACCTGTGTGACGCGGAGCGTCGTGTGAGTGAATGCCGAGCCCGACTCCTCCTCTCAGTGATGACATCATGTCTGGTGGATGCAGCTGAGAGTCTGAGGACATCTGTGCTCTTAAAAGAAAACGATCTCAAACGTGGTGCTCCACCTGCTTAGAGCACCACGTGCTGAGGCTCCTCCCCCTCCCGTTTCCTCACTTCGTGTCTGCTGCAGCTCTCCCTGCTTGTCCTGGACCCGCTGCAGCTCACAGGAAGAGAAACGGTGGAGACGTGGTGAAGCTTAAACGCCAGCGGTGGCTGGACGGTTTTGTCTGAAAGAGTCCCGACGCCTCGTTTCGTTAAACGTTTAGAGCTTCACCGAATCGCTCGGATCCGTTCTTCTTTTCGTCGCTCAAACGTTTCTGCAGCTGTTAAAACCTAAAGGTGGACAAAGCATCACAAATAACTGCACAGAAAAGAGACTTCTCAGGAACAGATGAGCTCTTCCTTCTTCCCTCAGCTCGCCGTGTCGTCCCATGAAAACGCCACTCCGGTGAAGCTGATTCACAACGCGGCCGGACACCTGAACGGGCCGGCGCGGACCATCGGAGCGGCGGTCATCGGATACTTGGGTAAATCTGGGAAGATGGTCCTGCATCCAGTAGCTGAATTGATCTCCGATGTAAACTTTTCCCGCTCCCTCAGGTGTTCGTACCTTCGTGCCCAAACCCGTAGCCACCAACTTGCAGTACGTCGGAGGGGCTGCGGCCATCTTGGGGCTGGTTGCCATGGCGTCGGATGTAGAAGGGCTGTACGCAGCTGTCAAAGCTCTGGTGTGTGTTGTGAAAAGCAACCCTTTGGCCAGCAAAGAGATGGAGCGCATCAAAGGCTACCAGGTGATTCCCCGAAGCATTCCTGAGTCCAACCAGACGTTTAGTTTAGGCTGAAGAGGAAAATCCCGCCCGACCCAGCTGCTGAACATGAGTGTGCTCTTCTGTGCAGCTGTTAGCCATGTTGCTGAAGAAGAAGCGCTCGCTGCTCAACAGTCACATCCTCCACCTCACCTTCTCTCTGGTGGGAACGGTGGACAGCGGACACGAGACCTCCATCATTCCCAACTCCACGGCATTCCAGGATCTGCTGTGTGACTTTGAGGTGAAAGCTCTGACGCAGCCCGGTTGTAGTGCTCTGGTCCTGACTGAAGAGCCAGAGTTGATGCTTGGGTCTTTCTGCTCCTCAGGTCTGGCTCCACGCTCCCTACGAGCTCCACCTGTCCCTCTTTGAGCATTTCAGCGAACTTTTGACAGAATCCAGGTGAGTGTCGACAGTTTGGTGCCAAACACGGAGGAGAAAAGACTGACTCTTGAGTTTCCTGTTTGAAAACAGCGAAGCGGCCAAAAACTGCAAACTGCTGAGGGAGTTTCAGCTGATCCCGAAGCTGCTGCTGACGCTCAGGGACGCGTCGCTGTCGCAGCCCACCGTGGCCGCCATCAGTAACGTGCTCAGCCTGCTGCTGCAGGGCTTCCCGAGCCCATACGACCTGCTCAGGTAAGCTTCCCGAATCCGCCCGCCAGGCATCAAAATGGTTGTTTCGACGTGAAAAAAGGAACTGACGTCTTTTATCTTCCCAGGTTCGGCCAGTTCATCTCCTCCACTCTGCCCACGTTTGCAGTCTGTGAGAAGTTTGTCGTCATGGAAATCAGCAACGAGGAGAAGATCGATGGAGGTGACAATCATCGCCTTCTGGTTGTGGACCCGACTGCTTCAGCTTTCCTGAAACTTGGATCTGTCTCCAGGTAACGAGGAAGACTTTGGCGGCCTGCTGTCAGCCAGCCTGATCCTGCTGAGAAACCGGCTGCTGGACAACCTGCTGAAGCTGCTCTTCACCAGCAAAGAGAAGAGCTCCGTTAACGTCCAGTAAGACGCCGCTGCGGTTTAAACCCTTTAAAGTGCTTTTCTTCACACGTTTGACACAAAAGCAACCCTCAGCCACGATGAAACTCGCACGTCGGCCGTCTCTCCATCTGCAGGGTGTGCGAGGAGCTCGTGCGAACGCTGGGCTTTGATTGGCTGCTGATGTTTATGGAAGAACACCTCCACTCCAGCACGGTGACTGTGGCTCTGCGGATCCTGGTGGTGCTGCTGTCCAACCAGTCCATCCTGAACCGCTTCAGAGAGGGTCTGTGTGGCGGGGGCTGGCTGGACCACACCGACTCCGTCCTGACCAATAAGATCGGCACAGTTCTGGGTGAGAGCCGCGCACCTCCTGGCCCTGGGGTACAGCCGTTTTTGGTATTATGCTCTGATCTGTGATGTCAAACGACTCAGCAGACGCCTCGCCACTCTCTGGAAACGCCTCCCGCCGGAGCTGGCCATCGTTCAGTAAACAGAAAGCTGCACAGCTTGTGCGCCGCACAGCCAAGGGTTTGTCCTCGGTTTCTGTCCCGCCCGTAGATCCTCCTCGCAGCTTTAGCTTAAAGTGTGTTCTAGCTGCACCTCCGGTCAAAGTGGCGTCACCAGCCTGCAGCTTTAGAAGTCCGGCTGGCGGCCTTACGGAATCAGGAGGTGTGAAACAACCCGTAGTTTGGTGCAGGTGTGGAGTGTCTGCCTCAGATCATTACTCTAGTTGTTTCTGCTAAACCCAAACCAGGTGTGGAAGCTCCTCGTAGCTGCCTCAGAGGGTGTTAGTAGTGACATCATCGTTTTTATCTCTAATCGATTGTTTCCTCTTCTGCAGGATTCAATGTGGGCCGCTGTGCTGGGGGGCGCTCCACACTCAGAGAGATCAACAGGGACGCCTGTCATTTCCCAGGATTCCCTGTTCTGCAGACGCTGCTGCCCAAACACACCAACGTGCCTGAGCTGTACTTCCTGCTGATGGCGCTGTTCCTGCAGCAGCCCGTCACCGAGCTGCCGGACAGCCTGCAGGTACATGTCAGTAAACATTCTTTCTTCTGGCTTCTGCACTTCAAAAGTCTGAGAAATCAGGTCTAACTAAAGTCTCCCATGTTCAGTTTGACCTGGATTCAATCTGGACCTTCATCTTTGGACTGCCGGCCTCCAGCGGAACGCTGGTGGGCTCCATCCACAGCGTGTGCACCGAGGCGGCCTTCCTGCTGCTGGCCATGCTGCGCAGCATGCTCAACCTGGTGAGAGCCTTCAGGCACATCAGCACAGTTTAAACGTCTGTGGAAGAGACAAAAAACACGTAGCTGTCCACATTTACTTCATTCTGACAACATTCAGGGTTCCCACGGGGTCTTAAAATGTCTTACAAGCATTGAATTTAGGAATTTGGAAATCATACCTTCAAAAGTCTTGAATTTTGACTCCTGGGTCTTAAAATTTGTTCTGTTTCTAAGTTCTCCGTACTGTATTTGTCCTCTAAAGTTTCGTTTATTAGCCACAATCATTTTTATTAAGTAACGTAGCATAAATCAAGAGTGGCGGAACCAATAAATGAGAACGCAGCGCAGCTTCGGGCCAAAGTACCCCAAACAAGCCAGACAGAATAGCTGAATCGCAACTTCTAACGCAGACTCATTACCGAGTCTTTTGATTTCTGAGTGAATTAACTTAAGAAAGCGCATCGACAAAACGCTCTACCATCCACGTGTACTGAGGGCAACTCTGGACCGGTTCCGTTCGACACCTACGTCTCCCCTGTCAGCCGCCGGTGTCATCTGGATGAACCACAACATCCTCCACGGCCCGGATCCGAAAGAGGGTCCACAAGAGTTCGGTGAGACAGAGCACGGTGTTTAGCGTTTGATGCAGTTCTCTGATAAGACCTAAGTTTATCCAAACCATCACTTCACTCAGACACCTGTTCTTCCTGAAGCAAAATCAGACTCAACCACGCATTCATATCACAACATTCTCAATCTTCATAAATTCACCACAAGGTCTATTTGATCATATCAACTGTTAAAGATTGTCCCACAAGTTGCCAATGTTCCTGTTTGTCAATTTCAAAATCATTAGTTTAATTTGAAGAATTAAAACTTTTAATTGTCAAACTGGTTTCCTCATTGAACTGAAACACAGACACACCGTTATCTCGCGCTGCAGCAGTGATACGAAACGGTAAACCAAACAGACCGCCAGCAGAGGAGGAACGCTGAAGATCTCAGCAGACCCTGAGAAAGGCTGACTGACGCCAAGGGCTGGGTACCGGAGCGGATATCGGAAATAAAGTGTTAAAATGTCCCAATGTGCCACCGCGGGTCACATGACTGATCCTGACGGTATGAGTGGAGGAGACGCGTCTCATTTCAACAACACTTCTCTGCAGTTCGCACATGAAAACGATGAAAAACTCAAATGTTTGGGGGCATGCTGCCAAAGTAAGCAGCAGCTAAATGCGACACCAGCGAGAAGATCTGGGCAGCAAAAATCAGGAATAGCAGCAGTTTACCTTAACAGCTGGCTGTGCAGGGCCTCATCTGGCGCTGAAACATGGAAAGTCTCTTGACTGCAAGAACCGGGTCCATCACCTCCCAATTCACTGGAGGAGTCTGAGGATGGAGGCTGGTGAAAGCAGCTCAGCTGCTGTTCACCAGCTTTATAAACGCCGTTCAGCAGGTTATTACTGCTGTTACTGACATGAAGTCGAGCATTAATGACGCTGTTTTATATATAAACTCACATTTTGTGCTTTTACTGTTTGCACTGTAGCTTTGCTGTTTATGCTTGAAATAAATGATAATATAAATAAATATAAACTAAACCTTTAAGAAGTTTGTTATCCTCTCTTAAAATAAAAAATACAGATTTCAGCAAAAGTATCGTTAAAGCCCCAGTGTGTGATATTTTTACCAGTTTACTATAAATCCTGTTTCCAGGTCACAAACGTGTCCTTTTTCACTGATATTTCTCACCGACATCAATTCTAAATATTCTTCTCAGCTTGAAACTTTACATTGTTAAATACATAATCTGTGGTCGAGGCTCCATGGTCATCCACCTTCTTAAAATACAGTAGCTGTTGAGGGACATACGAGCTCCACGTTACCGTTTGGACTGTGACTGTAACCTGACAGAACCAGCAGAGGGCAGCAGTGGCCCTGGAAGCCTGGAGTCTGCTAATTCAACTAAGAAGTAGAACAGAATAGCTACACCGTTAGGGTTGTCACGGTATGAAAATTTAACCTCACGGTTATTGTGACCAAAATTATCACGGTTTTCGGTATTATCGCGGTATTTTTTAAACGGTGTTGCATATGTTCAGAAAGCATTGATAGTCCTGTTCTACACAAACTGAAATAGTTCTGAAAAGGTTTAACAGTGTTTATTAAACCTAAAATAACACAAAGCCTTAGCAAAAGTGCAACTTTTCACAAGTAAAGGAACAAATAGCTTATTTTTCTGGAACTTGTTACAGTAGTCAGTGCAGGTTTAAATTATACAAATCCAAACATTCAAAACATAAACAATATGTAAACAAATCAAAGAAACACCACTTGTTTTCTCATATACTTGTTTTCTTCATTATCAAAATGAAAATCTAAAACTCCAGTCCACACTTGACTTGAGCGCTGTACAAGTCAACCTTAAAAAAATATGTATTTAAAATAAATAGCCACTTTAAACAAATTACTAAAATAACTACTACACTATGTAATCAAATCCAAATGTTCAAGTATAAATGGCATTGAATAAGTAAACAAATCCATGACAAGGAACTAATTGTATATTTCTCTTCATCATCAACAAATAAGATGCTTCATCCAGCAACAGCGTGTCCGTGACACGGTTTAAATGCTGGCAGAGGACGCTGCGGCTGCAGTATATAGTGACTCGTTGCATTCTCCCTCAACCAAAAGTCCTCACGTCATGCATTTCAGCTAAAATGCTAATGTTAACTTACCTTGCACTGGCTGTGGAGACGTGGGTGATGGTCACGCAGATGTGCCATTAGATTCGAAGTGTTGCTGCCTTCTGCAGACACTTGTTTCCTGCACGTTCTGCAAACGGGATAGCCGTCTTCTATTAACTGTCCCTCAGCATTTTTCAGAAATCCCAAATATGCCCATACTTCCGATTTAGTCTTCTTTGAGGGCTGATGGATGTCCTGGGCGCTGCCGTCGCCTCCTTCGGCCATTATTTCAGCTTCAAAGTTTTGGTGCCGTTGCAAATTAAAAAGTGCGTGTGCGCGCCGCGGGAACTTCAGCTGAAGCAACGGTGGCTGGTAAGGGTCATCGCGCCGAAACCGCGGCCACGGTAAACCCACCGAGATAATATAGTTTTTTAAAAACTGGACGGTTATTTTTATTGTCAACTTTTTTACCGGGGTTTACCGCTATACCGGTTACCGTGACAACCCTATACACCGTTGCTGCTCTTGTTAGTTTGAATAATTAACAATTCAATCAAAAGACACATGAAACGTGTCAGCTCGTCATCATGTCCGACACAAGGAAGCTGCATATGTTAAGGTCCCCGCCCGCTATTAGCTGGACACCAGCCTCCGATTTGACGCCCAAACTCACCTCAAGTTGCTCATTCGTCTTTTCTTCGTACCAGAACTCCCGATCCGGTCCCAACGTGTCCGTTCCAAAGTCTTTTAACACAAGTCTCCTCTCTTCCCGCAGCCTGCCGTCTCTCCCAACGCGCTCCAGTGCTCGTCCGCTAACCAGTGGCTAAATCAGCGTTGTTAACTTGATAAACATTTTACTAACGGCGATGTAGCTCTCCACGCCTTTGGACGTGGGTCCCCTTCAGCTGGTAATCCGTGTTTACACACACACAGCATGCACACCGTGTCCCCGGCTCGCCAACCCTCCTTCACCAGCCACGGCGCTGTTTTCTTTCTTTTTCCACGTCCGTTAGCTGTTAGCTAGCTTGTTTACAAAGCTGCTCTCATCCACGTGAAACGGGTGTTGTAGGAAATTATGTTCCCCTAAAATATTCTGTTTCTCTTAGGCAGTCGAGAGCAAATATTTCCTAACGTATTGTCCATTATGAGGACCAAACAACCTCTAAGAACCGAGCGAGACGACATCCTTTTACATAACTTTTAAAAACGATAAATAAGCTTGTAAAACGCGAACAGGAATGTTTTCACTGAACCTTTTTTATTGTGTTTAGGAGGACATATAGACAGAAAAACAGCTCAAGCACGACTTTATTACATTGCATGATTTTCCCATAAAAGTCGATCACAGATGTTGTGAAGATAACCTGAAGTACGACTTCCCGACACGGGGGGACAGAATATTTCAGAGGAACACAATTTCTCACAACACCTGCCCTCCCAGCTGACGCCACCCCTCCCCCTTGTGACAACTTCAAGGTCTAGCACGGGGGTCGGCAACCCGCGGCTCTTCCATCCATCTGATGCGGCTCTCTGTGCTTGTAAAATAATGAATGGATATTTAAATAAAATGCTTTATATTTTACTGCATTAATTTTACATCTGTATGCCAATTCTAAATGTAAAGATTGTCTGCGTAAACCTGAACAGGTCCAGCCTGGTCTGACTGTGAGACCGGGTTGATGGGTCACGCTTTTACGTGATCATAGACGCTTTCTGAGCTGAAGATGTGAGATCCTGGGCTTCTCCTCAGACGGCTCATGGATGTGTCGCCCCATTGGAGACAGGAACAAGCACTATTCAGCCAAAGTTTCATAATCAGGGAACATTTTCTAAGTGACAAGTCTCGCTTCAGTCGGAGGAATCTTCCTGCATGCGCTCTGGTTCTGCGACGCGCTCCAAGCCCCTCTCTACATCTTCAGCTCGCTGTGGACCTTATGTAGTACGCGCTGACAGTGAGCTGCGCTGAGCAGTGTCCAGCTCAGATGTTCAGATGGGAATCTTTTCTTGAGTGATTTAGCGACATCTGCGCGAAACGAATAAAATGTCAGTTCGTCTGCATGCGTCGGGGTAATTCTTTCTATTCTTTCTCTGTCAAAATAAACGGTCAAATACGGGAACTATCCGGTCAACACAACACAAGCCCTGCTGTTAACTGTTTTGTTTTCTTGTGAAAATTGTTGCAAAGAGATATAATTTAACTTGATTACCACCAGAGCCAGGCGCACTGCGCCGTTATCTCCGTCGCTGTAAATGAGGGAAAAACAAAATGATCGGATCCTTTTCTGACCTTCCCCACCTACAAAGTTTAATTACAACAATCAAACGTGACAGAGCCTGGATTTGTATTCTGAACAGTCTAAACATGTTTTAAAAAGAAACGTATGACAAAAGTGGAACCTGCTCAGTAAAACCACCAACAGGGTGAAAAATATCAAAATATTGTCGGCAGAGACGGGCTACAACTTCTGAATCCACTTTATATAAATCGTTTTATTGATTATCGTCTTATGAAAGATAACTTTGGCGTACACGAGCGACCGGTACCGGCTGCTGTCACCTGCTGTGAGCAGCTCTCTGCTGTCTGAGGTTAGGCCCCGCCCACAACGCCGCGGCTGCTGTGGCTCCCGGTCTTTTCTTTACTGTGGGAAACGGGTAATAATGGCTCTTTGATGGGAACAGGTTGCCGACCCCTGGTCTAGCAGAACTAGCTTGCCTCCTTCAGGGCTGGTAGGCTGATAAAGAGTCGTATTTAAAATGCTGTTTTAACGGGTAGAGGAGTTAGGATCTTTGTGTGGGTCAGGCTAGAGAGGTGGGAAGCTCAAGTGGGCCACCGTAGCTGCAGTACTTTGGGGGCCTTTAAGGTACCGGCATCAAAAACCAGGCATGGTTAAAGTAGTAGTAAACACCTGCTGGTGCCCAGCCCAGCGTGTTTTACGTTACCATAGCTACCCTTTCTGTGAAAGCTCAACCGGCTCTGCTCCTGTTCTCCACCGAGTGTGTTGGCAGGATTTAAAAAAGAAGCCGGTCGGGCTGTGAAATAACAAAACAAAGTGTTGGGTTTAACTTGATGAAAGCCGTAGGAATCGTGGACATTTAGGAGTAACGTTCCGGAGGAAACCTTCTCCCGGGTTGTTTTGAGCTCTTCCATCCTCCTGGGACGCCTTCCTTCGTCCGAGCTGCTGCTGAGGTCTCAGATGAACGTTCGGTGTCCCGTGTGTGTCTTCCAGCCGTGGCAGTCTGAGGAGGAAGGGTCCTGGCTCCGGGAGTACCCCGTCACCCTCATGCAGTTCTTTAGGTACCTGTACCACAACGTGCCCGACCTAGCGCCCATGTGGCACAGCCCAGAGTTCCTGTGCGCCCTGGCAGCCGCCGTCTTCCCCTTCAACATCCGTCCGTACTCTGAGATGGTAAATATGAGTGACGTATAGGATTTTCTCCTTCAGACCCCTGATCCCACGCTAACACCAATCGCGTTCTGCCGTCCCGTTTAGGTGACCGATCTGGACGACGAAGCGGGTTCTCCGACTGAAGAGTTCAAGGCCTTTGCTGGAGACTCCGGGATGAATCGCAGCCAGTCTGAGTACTGCAACGTGGGCTCCAAGACCTCGCTGACCAACCACCCGGCCAAAAAATACGTCTTTGACTTCATGAGGGTGTTGATCATGGACAACATGTGCGTGACTCCAGCCACCAAGCAGACACCCATCATTGACCTGCTGCTGGAGGTGCAGACGTCCATCCACGGTTCCCTTTAGAGAGGAAGCTGCTTGTTGCTGATGTCTGATGTTTTATTCTGCAGGCGTCCCCCGAGCGCTCCACCAGAACTCAGCAGAAGGAGTTTCAGTCCAGCATCCTGGACAGCGTGATGGAGCATCTTCTGGCTGCAGACGTCCTTCTGGGTCAGATCCATCTCATACCCGGCACATTCCCACTTAGTCTCAGAGGTTACAGTGGAACCCGCTCATGCATGAAACCCACAAACTCACATATCTGACAAATAACCTTTCTGTTAGCTCGCCGTTTGTCTGTGAGCAGGATCGAACCAGCACACCTGTCTGCATTAGAATATCTGTGTCTGACGGCGTTGTCCCGCGGTCGTCCTCCTACAGGCGAAGACGCCTCTCTTCCTCTCAGCACCGGAGGAAGTTACCAGATCCTGGTCAACAACGTCTTCTACTTCAGCCAGCGGGTGGTGGACAAGCTGTGGCAGGGAATGTTCAACAAGGACTCCAAGCTGGTGGTGGACTTCATAGTGCAGCTGATCGGGCAGGTAAGAGCCTAGCCGTGGATCTGAGCTCCAGAGGCACCATAATAAATCAGCTGAAGCTTCATCGTTAGACACCCCAGAGCCATCTGGGACCAGACTTAGACCTGACTGGGCAAATGACGTTCCTACTCACCAAGACTCGCTCGTATCTGTAGAGTCAGGCAGCGTTAAAGCTCCACGTCTGTTCTAGGTTTAAGTCCGGTCTCTGATCCGGTTTCTGCCTTGTTTCATTCTCATAACTCTGGCTTTGTTCTGCTCAGAAATCAAACAAAGCTGCATTCACAAACGATGAATGTGTTCGGACCTGCTTACTGATATGAATCTCCGTTCTGCTGAACCTGAGCCGCCTTTTCACACTCTGACCGACATGTTCCCTGCTGCTGCAGTCTAAGCGACGTTCCCAGGGCCTTTCCCTCGACACCATCTACCACTGTCTGAACCGGACGGTGCTCTACCAGCTCTGTCGACCCCACAAGACGGTGGCTCAGCAGGTGGCCCTGCTGGACGCCCTGCGGGTCCTCACAGTCAACCGCAACCTGGTGCTCGGGCCGGGAAACCACGACCAGGACTTTGTGGCCTGTCTGGCGCACTGCTTCATCTGCCTGCACAGCGGGAGGTAGGAGTTCTGCTTCTGGGACACGGCTTTTATTTAGTCTGGTAAGAATGCACCAGCAGGTTGAACACAACCTGAAGGAGAGCGGTGAGCAAGTCTGAGGGACCGTAAACAAAAACAAGTTCTGTCTAAAGAAAAACATCACATCTTATTTTATTTGAAGATTCATTTAAACAAAACTAACTTGGTTTTCTTTACTCACCCACTCACTCACTCACCCCCCACCCACCCACTCACTCACCCACCCACTCACTCACCCACCCACCCACTCACTCACCCACCCACTCACTCACCCACCCACTCACTCACCCACCCACCCACTCACTCACCCACCCACTCACTCACCCACCCACTCACTCACCCACCCACTCACTCACCCACTCACCCACCCACTCACTCACTCACCCCCCACCCACCCACCCACTCACCCACTCACTCACCCACCCACCCACTCACTCACCCACCCACTCACTCACCCACCCACCCACTCACCCACCCACTCACTCACCCACCCACCCACTCACTCACCCACCCACTCACTCACCCACCCACTCACTCACCCACCCACCCACTCACTCACCCACCCACCCACCCACTCACCCACTCACTCACCCACCCACCCACTCACTCACTCACCCACCCACTCACTCACCCACCCACCCACTCACTCACCCACCCACTCACTCACCCACTCACTCACCCACCCACCCACTCACTCACCCACCCACTCACTCACCCACCCACTCACTCACCCACTCACTCACCCACCCACTCACTCACCCCCCACCCACCCACTCACTCACCCACCCACCCACTCACTCACCCACCCACTCACTCACCCACCCACTCACTCACCCACCCACTCACTCACCCACTCACCCACCCACTCACTCACTCACCCCCCACCCACCCACTCACTCACCCACCCACCCACTCACTCACCCACCCACTCACTCACTCACTCACCTACCCACCCACTCACTCACCCACCCACCCACTCACCCACCCACTCACTCACTCACCCACTCACTCACCCACTCACTCACCCACCCACTCACCCACCCACTCACTCACCCACCCACTCACTCACCCACCCACTCACTCACTCACTCGCCCCCCCACCCACTCACTCATTCACCCACCCACCGTCTCACCCACCCACTCACTCACTCCCCCTCTCAACCACTCACTCACCCACCCACTCCCTCACTCACTCACCCACCCACCCTCCACCCACTCGCTCGCTCACTCACTCACCCACCCGCCCGCTCGCCCACCCACTCACTCATTCACTCACTCGCTCGCTCGCCTGCGCCCCAACCACCTCCCTCCCTCCCTCACCCACTCACTCACTCATTCACTCTCCCACCCACCCTCTCACTCTCCCACCCATTCACTCACCCCCCACCCACCCACTCACTCACCCACCCACTCACTCACTCACCCACCCACTCACTCACCCACCCACTCACTCACTCACCCACCCACTCACTCACTCACCCACCCACTCACTCACCCACCCACTCACTCACTCACTCACCCACCCACTCACTCACTCACCCCCCACCCACCCACCCACTCACTCACCCACCCCCCACCCACCCACCCACTCACTCACCCACCCACTCACCCACCCACTCACTCACTCACTCACCTACCCACCCACTCACTCACCCACCCACTCACCCACTCACTCACCCACCCACTTACTCACCCACCCACTCATTCACCCACTCACTCACCCACCCACTCACTCACCCACCCACTCACTCACTCACTCGCCCCCCCACCCACTCACTCATTCACCCACCCACCGTCTCACCCACCCACTCACCCACTCACCCGCTCACTCACCCACCCACTCACTCACCCACCCACTCACTCACCCACTCACTCACCCACCCACTCACTCACCCACCCACTCATTCACCCACTCACTCACTCGCCCCCCCACCCACTCACTCATTCACCCACCCACCGTCTCACCCACCCACTCACCCACTCACCCGCTCACTCACCCACCCACTCACTCACCCACCCACTCACTCACCCACTCACTCACCCACCCACTCACTCACCCACCCACTCACTCACCCACTCACTCACTCACCCACCCACTCACTCACCCACCCACTCACTCACTCACTCGCCCCCCCACTCACTCACTCACTCACCCACCGTCTCACCCACCCACTCACCCACTCACTCACTCCCCCTCTCAACCACTCACTCACCCACCCACTCCCTCACTCACTCACCCACCCACCCTCCACCCACTCGCTCGCTCACTCACTCACCCACCCACCCGCTCGCCCACCCACTCACTCATTCACTCACTCGCCCGCTCACTCGCTCGCTCGCCCGCCCCCCCACCCACTCCCTCCCTCCCTCACCCACTCACTCACTCACTCATTCACTCTCCCACCCACCCTCTCACTCTCCCACCCATTCACTCTCACTTAACCACTCACTCGCTCACCCGCCCACCCACTCACCCGCTCGCTCGCTCACTCACCCATCCACCCACCCACCCATTCACTCACTCACTCACTCACTCACCCACCCTCTCACCCACCCACTCACTCACTCACCCCCTCACTCCCTCCCTCCCTCCCTCCCCCTCCTCCGACCTCCCCCGGCCAGGTGACGTTGTCTCTCAGACTCTGTCGGGCATGACCTTTGACCCCCGTGGCTCTATGATCTCCTGCTTCCCTAGCTCCTGACATTCCTAAACTCCCGCTCTTGTCTCTCCCGACCCCCCGCCAGACGCCAGACGCGCTGATGCGTGGTTTGTGTTTGTGTGCGCAGCAGTGTGGACGGCTTTGGTCTGGAGGCGGAGGCCCGGATGACAACCTGGCATGTCATGATGTCAGCGGAGAACGAAAGCGACTCCACACACAGCCACGACGTCAGCGAGGGTGAGCCTGCTCGTCCTGCGGTCCGGTCATCTGTTGGTTTTATTGTCAGAGATAACAAACTAAAGATGGACGTCAGCGTTTTTCTGCTAACCTCTGAAAGCAGCAGCAGGTGTTGAGTGAAGCAGGCTGACTCTGGTCTGATGATGCAGGACGCCAGCTGCTGATGAAGGCCGTCAACCGCGTGTGGACGGAGCTGATGCACAGCAAGCGTCAGATGCTGGAGGACATCTTCAAAGTGTCTCTGCCCTGCAATGACAGAGGACACGTGGACATCGGCACGGCCCGTCCCGCTCTGGAGGAGCCTGCTCTGAAGAGCTGGCAGAACCATCTGGGTAACTGAAGTTCTCCTGAGCAGCACTTTTATTCACGGCAGCAAAAACGTCTGTGATTTCTACAAATGACCTCCTAAACTCTGCAGAAGTCCAGCCGCTGTTGGAAGCTTGGGCGCGTTTCCGGTATCCTGGATGACCTCACCTTAATGTGTTTAGTTCCCGTTTTTGTCTGAGTTGTAGAAGAGAGAGGAGTCCAAACACTGCACAGATCCAGATTCGGTGTTTTGATCTGATCCGGAAGTTCAGATTCTGTGTTCCGATGTTTGTTTGTTTGTTTTCTTGGGTCCAGCCCACGAGAAGAAGTGCATTAGCCGTGGTGAGGCTGTGGCTCCGGCCGCCCAGTCCAAACTGTCCAGAGTCAGCAGCGGCTTCGGCCTCTCCAAGCTGACCGGTGTCCGCCGCAACAAGAAGGAGAACAGCCTGAACAAGAACAGCCCGACGGCACAGGTGAGCGACACACCAGCAGGTACGACTCGGGAAGGACTGTTGCTTACTGATGAGTGTTTTTCTGAGCCGCAGGAGACCTTCCAGTGGATGTTCACTCACATAGCCGTGGTCCGGGACCTGGTGACGCTGCAGCATAAAGAATATCAGGAGGTAGTAGTCCGGGTGCACCTGTAGCTCTGTGATGCCTTCATCTCTAACTAATATCGTTAACAACTCACAGCGACAGCAGAACGTCCTCAAGTACGTCACCGAGGAGTGGGCGGCCATCGAGTACGAGCTGCTGCGTGAGCGAGGCCTCTGGGGCCCCCCCATCGGCTCCCACCTGGACAAGTTCACACTGGAGATGACAGAGGGGCCCTGCCGCATGAGGAAGAAGATGGTCCGCAATGACATGTTCTACCTCCACTACCCGTACGTCCCAGAAGCGGAGATCAACACCAACTCAGTGCAGGTCGGTTTTCTGAAAAGCAGACATGTGGGCTCACGTCTGGATTAATGGTGGTCGAGATGGTTGGAGTTTTCCCCCTAAGGAGTGGATTCAGGGAAAGATGGAGGCATTCATACAGGGGTGTGTTTCAATTCAGTTGAAGTTTATTTCTAAAGCGCCAAATCAGGGCCGGAGTCATCTCACGGACCTTCACACCGTAAACAATACAGGTCAGGTCATTAAGCCAATCAGTAACAAGTTTCCTATATGAGGAACCCAGCAGGTTGCATCGAGTCACTGACTAGTGTCAGAGTCTTTACAGCAATCCTCATACTCAGCAAGCATGCAGCGACAGTGGAGAGGAAAACTCCCTTTTAACAGGAAGAAACCTCCAGAGGATCCTGGCTCAGTATAAGCAGCCATCCACCACGACTCACTGTGGATGGAGAAGACAGAGCAGACACACACACACACACACACACACACACACACACACACACACGCACGCACGCACACACGCACGCACGCACACACACACACACACAACTTTATTGTATTTATCCTAGTGAATCTATAATTAAACGGGTAAACTAGTAGTAGCACATCCAATGTCAAAGAGAGTAAAAAGTCATTATCAGGAGAGGGAGAATGTTTAAGTGGTTAGCAGCAGTGTGCCAGCCGATGGTCCCCTCCATGAGGCCACCACAGCTCAGCAGAACATCATACAGGTGCTGGCCAGTAAATTAGAATATCATCAAAAGGTTGAAAATATTTCAGTAATTCCATTCAAAACGTGAAACTTGTACATTATATTCATGCAATGCACACAGACCAATGTATTTCCGATGTTTATTACGTTTAATTTTGATATTCATAAGTGACAACTAATGAAAACTCCAAATTTGGTATCTCAAAAAATTAGAATATTCTGAAAAGGCTGAATATAGAAGACACCTGCTGCCACTCTAATCAGCTGATTTACTCAAAACACCTGCAAAGGCCTTTAAAAGGTCCCTCAGTCTTGTTTTGAAGGCACCACAATCATGGGGAAGACTTCTGACTTAACAGCTGTCCAAAAGACAATCATTGACACCTTGCACAAGGAGGGCAAGACACAAAAGGTGATTGCTAAAGAAGCTGGCTGTTCGCAGAGCTCTGTGTCCAAGCACATTAACAGACAGGCGAAGGGACGGAAAAAATGTGGTAGAAAAAAGTGTACAAGCTCTAGGGATAACCGCACCCTGCAGAGAATTGTGACGACAAACCCATTCAAAAATGTGGGGGAGATCCACAAAGAGTGGACTGCAGCTGGAGTCAGCGCTTCAAGAACCACCACGAGGAGACTCATGAAAGACATGGGATTCAGGTGTCGCATTCCGTGTGTCAAGCCACTCTTGAACATGAAACAGCGCAAGAAGCGTCTCGCCTGGGCCAAGGACAAAAAGGACTGGACTGATGCTGAGTGGTCCAAAGTTATGTTTTCTGATGAAAGCAAGTTCTGCATTTCCTTTGGAAATCAAGGACCCAGAGTCTGGAGGAAGAGCGGAGAAGCACAGAATCCACGTTGCATGAGGTCCAGTGTAAAGTTTCCACCGTCAGTGATGGTGTGGGGTGCCATGTCATCTGCCGGTGTTGGCCCACTCTGTTTCCTGAGGTCCAGGGTCAATGCAGCCGTCTACCAGGAAGTTTTAGAGCACTTCATGCTTCCTGCTGCTGACCAACTTTATGGGGATGCAGACTTCACCTTTCAACAGGACTTGGCACCTGCACACAGTGCCAAAACCACCAGCACCTGGTTCAAGGACCATGGTATCCCTGTCCTTGATGGGCCAGCAAACTCGCCTGACCTTAACCCCATAGAAAATCTATGGGGTATTGTGAAGCGGAGGATGCAATACGCTAGACCCAACAATGCAGAGGAGCTGAAGACGACTATCAGAGCAACCTGGGCTCTCATAACACCTGAGCAGTGCCACAGACTGATCGAGTCCATGCCACGCCGCATTACTGCAGTTATTGAGGCAAAAGGAGCCCCGACTAAGTATTGAGTGCTATACATGCACATTCTTTTCATGTTCATTCTTTTCAGTTGGCCAACATTAGAGAAACAAACATTTTTTCATTGGCCTTTAGAATATTCTAATTTTCTGAGATACCATATTTGATGTTTTCATTGGTTGTCACCTATAAATATCAAAATTAAACGTAATAAACATTGGAAATACATTGGTCTGTGTGCATTGCATGAATATAATGTACAAGTTTCACGTTTTGAATGGAATTACTGAAATATTTTCAACCTTTTGATGATATTCTAATTTACTGGCCAGCACCTGTAGTAGCTTCTTCTGGGGAGAAAAACACTTAGAGACAAAATAAAGTTAACAGCTGAAATAGCAGGAAATAATACAGTTAAAGAGCAGATTGTTGAAGAAAGTGGTCAGTGTATCCTCCAGCAGTCTAAGCCTATAGCAGCATAACTACAGAGATAACTCAGGATAACCTAGCCTTTTTAGATGGAGGCAGGGCAAGGGAGAGCCGTCTTTACCGACTGTACACTCCACCTCCCTCTACTCCCCCACTTGTCCAGATCTAGGCTAACATCAGATTTTAACCACACGCCCTATCAAATAAAATGTTTTAAGTCTAGTTTTAAAAGTAGACAAGGTGTCTGCCTCACGGACTGTTTGAGTCGAGCGAGTGTGTTTGAACCCTGGTGCTGCTGGATGAGGTCATTTGGGTCTGAGTGAAACCAGCTCTCTGTGTCCGTGTGTTGCTTCTAACGATGATTTCCCCTCCGGTATCGTTTTCACCTTAAATCTGATCACGGGTGGAAACGTCATTTGCTGCTGCACAGTTTCAGCCGTTAAACTGTTACTTGTTTTAAAAGATCACCGTAAGCTGGTCACGCATGCAGACCTTCTCATGAACCTGTCCCCTCCTGCAGAGACCTCTGCGCTACCGCCGGGCCGTCAGCTACGACAGTAAGGAATACTACATGCGCCTGTTGTCCGGAAACCCGGGAATGTACCAGCACTCCGTGGAGCACAGCACGGAGGGAGAAACCACTCAGCAGGAGCCCGAGCATGGAGAAGACACCATTGCTAGGGTCAAAGGTAGAGGCGGTGTCGGGCGGCGTCTGACAGCTGCTCTGACTGGCCTCTGACGGGTTTCTGTCGTCTCCAGGTCTGGTGAAAGCTCCTCTGAAGAGGTCTCGGTCCACGGCCGACGGTGCAGATGAGGACAGTCAGGAGCAGCTTCAGGAGCAGCTGCTGGAGTCGGGAGGTCCCGAGGAGGAGCAGAGGACTGACAACACGTCTCTGCTGCGCCTCCTGGAGGAGGGAGAAAAGGTCAGGCAGGAGCAGACCTTTATGACTCCAGTGGGGCATTCTGGGTCTTTAATCGGCGGTTCTGCACCCCTCCCCTCCTTCAGATCCAGCACATGTACCGCTGTGCCAGGGTGCAGGGTCTGGACACCAGCGAGGGCCTGCTGCTGTTCGGGAAGGAGCACTTCTACGTCATCGACGGTTACACCATGACCCTGTCCAGGGAGATCAGGGACATCGACACGCTGCCGCCCAAGTAGGTCCACGCCGCTCATGATCACAGACGCTTAAAGTCGTGGAAGATGACATCATCCCTCTGCTGCTGGGATGATGTCATGCTGCAGGTGGAGTACACATTACATATTCATCCTGTTAGGCAACTGGAGCAGCAGGTGGTTGGTTGTTGTTATTTTTAATTCAACACCGACAGGCACAAAGCCCACAGTTGTCTACAGAACCAAAGCCAGTAAACAGGAGCGACCCAGAAGTTATTCTTGTAGCCCTAAGAAGCCGCAGAAGGTTTTTGTTTTGCTCTAACATCGGGTGAAGCAGGCTAATGTTGAGCTAACAACGCTAACGGCGATTTAGAAGCAGACGGTCGTTTCTGCAGCATCCGAAGCTGCGTTTTTACCCGTCTGGCCTTTTCTCTCACAGCCAGCCGTTCAACCGTTAAACTTCACCTGGAAGTGTTTTAGATGAAGCGTGACTTCTGTCTGAGTGAAGATGCACAAACTCTGGTTTCCATCCAGTTTGCACGAGGCCATCATCCCCAGAGGAGCGCGACAGGGCCAGAGCCAGCTGAAGAGGACCTGCAGCATCTTCGCCTATGAGGACATCAAGGAGGTCCATAAGAGACGCTACCTGCTGCAGGTCAGAACGCAGCACCGTCACAGGAAGTGTTTTCACTCTTAGAGGGGTCAAAGTTCACATGTGATCTCTCCTCAGCCGATGGCGGTGGAGGTTTTCTCTGCAGATGGGAGGAACTACCTGTTGGCCTTTCAGAAAGGCGTTCGCAACAAAGTCTACCAAAGGTGCAGCTGCTGATGTGAAGTGGTGAAGTGCAGGAGGCGGACGTCCTAACCTGTTTTTTTATGGGCAGGTTTTTAGCCGTCGTCCCGTCGCTGGCCGACAGCTCCGAGTCGGTTTCGGGTCAGAGGCCCAACACCAGCGTGGAACAAGGGTACTGACAGATTTGAGTGATGTTAAAGCTTCCTGCCACCGTTAACGGTGTTGTCTAAGAATGAACACATGAATAAACACGAGAGAGTTACTGAAGCGTTTTCTGTGTTGGTGGGGTCTGCAGGTCGGGTCTGCTCAGCACGCTGGTCGGTGAGAAGTCCGTGACTCAGAGATGGGAGGTCAGAGCCGGGTCTCCTCTTCTGCTGCTGCCATGGTAACGTCGGCACTCCTGTAACAGGTGTTTGTGTTCCAGAGAGGAGAGATCAGCAACTTCCAGTACCTGATGCATCTGAACACGCTGGCCGGGCGCTCCTACAACGATCTGATGCAGTATCCCGTCTTCCCCTGGATCCTGGCGGACTTCGACTCGGAGGTGATTTTGTCGTTTTGAATGAAAACTCCTGCTGCTTTTTCAGCCGCGAGCCGTTGTAACTGCCGCCGAAATCATCCATTAATGTCGTGCTTTTGGCATTCAGGAACTTGACCTGAACAATCCCAAAACGTTCCGCAACCTCTCCAAGCCGATGGGCGCTCAGACCGACGACCGGCTGACGCAGTACAAGAAGCGGTACAAGGACTGGGAGGACCCCAACGGTGAGCCGCAGGACGGGGGTGTTGGTTTACGTCCACAAGGCTTTAGATGGTCATCAGACAGGTTTGTGCTCCACCAGGTGAAACCCCGGCGTACCACTACGGGACCCACTACTCGTCCGCCATGATCGTCGCTTCTTATCTGGTCCGGATGGAGCCGTTCACGCAGATCTTCCTCAGACTCCAGGTTTGAGCCGTAGTCGTGCTGACTGGCGGCCATCTTTATCTGAACCCAACGCTATCTCCCCTTTCCCGCTCAGCGGGGGGGATGATTTTGGTTTCCTCTGTTTGGGTTTTTGAGAACAGATAAAAGTTTTTGGCCACGATAAAAAACGGGACTGTTGGGTTCGGGGTCGGGCAGCGGGAGAAACGGCCCGTGTGCATCTGGGACTAGATCTTAACATCCTCCTTGTCTGTGATCATCAGGGAGGCCATTTTGACCTGGCAGACCGAATGTTCCACAGCGTGCGAGAAGCTTGGCTGTCCGCCTCCAAGCACAACATGGCCGACGTTAAGGAGCTGATCCCGGAGTTCTTCTACCTGCCGGAGTTCCTGCTGAACTCCAACAACTTTGATCTGGGTCGGTACCGCGCAAACGGCACCAGAATCAGCTGGTGGTACGTACTTATTTCTTTCTGCCTTTTGCTGTTTGGTGAACCAGGAGCCAAGCAGAACGGCACCAAGCTGGGCGACGTGATCCTGCCACCCTGGGCCAAAGGCGACCCGCGGGAGTTCATCCGAGTCCACAGAGACGTGAGAAACGACCCGGCCCAAACAGCTGCCGCCCCGGTGCTGGCGTGGCCTTAACGTCTTCCTGTCTGCAGGCGCTGGAGTGTGACTACGTCTCCGCCCACCTCCACGAATGGATCGACCTGATCTTTGGCTACAAGCAGCAGGGTCCTCCAGCTGTGGAGGCCGTGAACGTCTTCCACCACCTGTTCTACGAGGGCCAGGTGGACATCTACAACATCAACGACCCGCTCAAAGAAACGGCCACCATCGGCTTCATCAACAACTTCGGTCAAATCCCCAAGCAGGTTAGATCTCTCTGCTCCTGCAGGAGTCGCTCGTAAAGGCTGAGGTCGTTACCTGGTTAGTTACCTGTGTGTTCTTTCAGCTGTTTAAGAAGCCCCACCCACCTAAGCGTGTGCGCAGCAGGACCAACGGGGAGTTAACGAGCATTCCTCCGAGCTCCGGCAGCGACAAGATCTTCTTCCATCACCTGGATAACCTCAGACCTTCTCTTGCTCCTGTTAAAGGTTTTCCCACTCCCACGCGCTTCCTAACGTTCCTTTAAGCGTTCCAAACGTCCGCGCAGACCTGGCCCTCCTGTGATTATTCTGTATTTGGTTTGGTCCAGAGCTGAAGGAGCCCGTGGGTCAGATCGTCTGCACCGACAAGGGAATCCTCGCTGTGGAGCAAAACAAAGTCCTGGTTCCACCCGGCTGGAGCAGAACCTTTGCCTGGGGCTACGCCGACCTCAGCTGCCGATTGGCCAATTACGAGTCCGACAAGGTCAGTGAACCCCCGCTCCCTCTGGGATTTTAACCCGCAACCCGTAAAGCACGCCGTTCCCAGCTCCGGTGTTCTGATTCTGACGTTTGTGGGTTTCAACACAACCCGCAGCGCTGCAGGGTTGCCCCCTGCTGGTGTGCGGATGAACTGCGCTTTACTGAAGCTGTTGTGTTTCAGGCGCTGGTGGTGTACGAGGGCCTGTGTGAGTGGGGTCAGATCCTCTGCGCCATATGTCCAAACCCAAAGCTGGTCATCACCGGCGGCACCAGCACCGCCATCTGCGTGTGGGAGACGGGGACCTCCAAGGAGAGGACCAAGTCTCTGACGCTCAAACAGGTAAACGCAGCAGAAGTCAGAAACGGGCCCAGCAGGAGAATAAATCCCCTCCCCTGTCTTAGGCCTTACTCGGCCACACGGACGCTGTAACGTGTCTGACGGCGTCATCGGCATACCGCATCGTGGTCAGCGGCTCTCGGGATCGAACCTGCATCATCTGGGACCTCAACAAGCTCTCCTTCGTCACACAGCTGAGGGGCCACCGGGCGCCAGTCTCTGCTGTGTGCATCAACGAGCTGACGGTGGGTTAGGGTGTGGGGGGTGGGTGGGTGTGGAGTTGTTGTACTGAACGCGTGTGCGTGTGTGCAGGGCGACATCGTGTCCTGCGCAGGAACCCACATCCACATGTGGAGCATCAACGGCAGCCCCATCGCCAGCGCCAACACCTTCACGGGTCGCAGTCAGCAGATCCTGTGCTGCTGCGTGTCGGAGATGAACGAGTGGGACACGCAGAACGTCGTCGTCACGGGACACTCGGACGGCGTCGTCAGGGTAACCAGACTCCCGTTGGTGCACGTTCTGCTTGAACCAGCCTGGAGATGGACTGGTTTCATGCTGGTAAAACTTTCTGTTGCAGTTCTGGAGAATGGAGTTCCTCCAGGTCCCAGAAACCCCCGCTCCAGAGCCGGTTGAGCCCGACGTGCCGGACTGCTGCGGCGATGAGAAGCTCGGTGAGTTCTGTCGGACCAGCTCCGTTGGTTTGGTCGTTTGACGGAGGATTTAACAGCGGTGTTTCTCAGAAGGAGGCGAGAGCCACAACGGAGACGACGACAGCAGCGAGTCCGATGCAGACGAGTCCAGTTTGAACCAGGAGTCCAGAGCGCCGCCCAACCCGACGGGCGGCAGTGGCAGCCAGCCGGGCAGCACCGTCCACAGACCCAGGGGTACCAGCTCCAGATCCTCTGTGGTTCTGTTTGTTACCAGGTGGGGTTGTGAGTGTGTTTCTTCTCTCTCCCCGACAGGTCCGTCGTCCCGAGCCGGGGCGTCCTGGTCCATGGACAGCGGCTCTGATGACTCCCACCGCTGGTCGGACAGCCTCAGCATCGATGAGAAGGACGGTTTTGTGTTTGTCAACTACTCTGAGGGCCAGACTAAAGGTGCAGCCCCCCACCCGGCTCACCCGGGCCAGGCGTCCGCGCCTCAGCCTCTTCCTCCGGCCACCGCGGAGCCACGGACGTTTCACCTGCTCAAAGCAGGTGTGTGACCAACAGCCGATGCTCCCGGCGCTCTCCGGACCGCTCTAACAGCAGCGTGTTTATATCTGTGGTTACAGGATACCGGTGGGAGCGACAGCTGGTCTTCCGCAGCAAACTCACCATGCACACAGCGTTTGATCGCAAGGACAACGCCCACCCGGCTGAGATCACCTCCCTTGCCATCTCCAAGTAAGCGAAGAGGAGAGTTTCATTACAACTGCTTCATTACAACCGCTGCTAAGCCCCGCCTCTCTGTGCCCCCCTCCCACAGAGACCACAGTAAGATCCTGGTGGGTGATGGGCGTGGCCGAGTGTTCAGCTGGTCCGTGAGCGATCAGCCGGGCCGCTCGGCGGCGGACCACTGGGTGAAAGACGAGGGGGGGGACAGCTGCTCCGGCTGCACGGTCCGCTTCTCCCTGACGGAGCGACGCCACCACTGCAGGAACTGCGGGCAGCTCTTCTGTCAGAGGTCAGATTTCTGATGGCTGCGGCGGTTCTGACACGCGTGTGAGGAACGGCGTTCGTAAATAACGGAGTCACTCGGGCACAGACGCGCGTTCATTTCATGCCTTCTCAAAGATTTTTCGCTTATCCGGAAGTCCTGATTCAGGCTTTCGGGTCTCATTTACGGGATTTCTGCACAGAGTTTTAAAATTTTCCGTTTTTTCTGTTTTCCGTGTGACAAACTCGGCTTTGGCGTTTTCTGGGAGGTGTGGCGGTAACGGGCCTCCTCAGACACCTGAGCGTGTCTTCGTGTGGACGTCAGTTTGTCCCCGCCACAATACTTTACTTCCCAAGGTTTGATTTTCAGTAGAAAAGTGTTTTTGGCGCGTTTTACATTATACGTGCCATACGTAAACAGTTGCCCCTCTGGGATGATTAAAGTTTTTTTGAATTTGAATTGAATTAATAATCCTTTAGATTATTGATCAAATACTTCCTAACTACGATCGTTTATGGAGTCTAAAGTTCTCACGGCGTTCCTCAGGGATGAAGATTCGGTCGATTCAGCTGTTGGTTCAGACTCAGACGTGTGTTTGTTAAAGCTCTTAAACGGTGACTTCAGCGTGTGAATCAGTTCATCTGGAGCAGATTAAGGCTTTTGATCAGATTAGGTTTAGGTGAGGTTGTTGTAAGTTGGTGCCAGCAGCAGCACAGATGGACTCCGGAGCGCGAAGACCGAACAAATGCGTTTTTACAGCTGGGTTCATGTGATCCGGTCTCACCGTTTCTACGTCTCCACCTGGTCTCGCCTTGTCCCACAGGTGTAGTCGCTTCCAGTCTGAAATCAAAAGGCTGAAGATCTCCTCTCCTGTTCGAGTTTGTCAGAACTGTTTCTACAACCTGCAGCACGAGCGCAGTGTCGACGGCGGCGGCGGCAGAAACTGAGCTCCGCGTGCGTCTGCTGGAGCTGAGCTTCGTCCCTCCGTTCGCCTCCTCCAGCCCCGCCTCCACGCATCTGTGCAGGAAAACAGACGCATCAGGAGACCCCGTCACCACCTGCAGAAGAATAAAGCCGCTTCGCCCCCATCGTCTCTGCCGCTACAGACTTGTTTATAGTGTAAATACGGATCACGGCCTTTTAACTCTGCAGCAGAACAAAACTCAAGGTCAGTAAATCGGCTTCCTGTGACTTAGCGTTGTGACTAACCGCCGCCGGCCTCAAGAGGAGACAGGAGAGTGTTTAACCTGCTTCACAGCGAGTCCAGAGGAAGGATCTGAATGTCCGTGTGTGGGCGGAGTTATGCAAAAATCACCTTTTTTAACACAATCTCCACATCGTTGACACAAACGTGAGCTCTTCTGTTTCTCCTGAGATGTTTCTGCTTTTTATTTGGGCCAAACCGTTTTTATCATTAGATCAACGTCCCGGTGTAGACTCCTGCTGCTCTGGGACCGCCTGCACCCGCGGCACCAGGTGGTCACACGTGTCCTCCGAGGTTTGCTTTGATCCGTCACCTATCGCTCCAACTCTTCTGCTGCCAAACTTTGTCTTTTGTGTCATTTTTCATGTCAAAGCAGCTTTTGGAACGCACAAAGAA